CGTATGATTCCCACGAATGAGGCGCTTTATAATCAAGTATGTAAAAAAAAATTGTTGAAATTGTTTATTTTTTAAATCAAGTTCAGGTGTTGACATCGAAACATTTTGCTTCCTTTATAGAAAAAAAAACGATATATGCCATCACCTTAACGCGGTAGCACTCCCGAGAGGGAACGGGCAAGTTGAAAGGTATAATCGCATTATTTCGATTCATTAGCGGCCATGGGAGGTAAACGCGACAATAGGGAATGGGATGAAAATGTCCAAAATTTGCAGCTAGGTTTAAATGGCACTCTAAATAAAGCCATTGGGGTTTCACCTAGTGAGGCTCTTATGGGTTTCCGAGTTACAAGCACTAATGTTTTAGCTAACGATCCTGAACAGCCTTTGGATGTTAAAGCGATAAGTGAACGAATGGTTAAATTGGCAGATGAGCATCAAAAGGAACAAAAACGCAGGTTTGATGAAAAACGTATACCTGGCAAATCATATCATGTAGGAGATTTGATTCTCTTGAGGGTTACTGCTATACCCAACACTGGAACAAGTCGTAAATTGCTGCCTAAGGGCGAGGGCCTTTTCGTGTAAGCAAGGTGCTGGAAAATGATCGTTATGAGGTTACTAACATACCTGGAGCTATTCGCTCACGTGTTCCGTATAAGGGTATCGCTGGAATGGAAAATATGAAACCCTGGATATCTTATGGGGAGAAAACACACCAGCATACAGAACATGTAGGGGCGTAGTCTGGTCCGTGTACATGTAGGGGCGTTGCCTGGTCCGTGTACATGTAGGGGCGAGCCTGGGCCGTGTACATGTAGGGGCGGCGTAGCCTGGTCCTTGTACATGAAGGGGCGTAGCCTGGTCCTTGTTCTGGCTTAGAGCATGGCGATTTGCTCTAGGTTGTTGTCATTGAGCACACTGCTCTGACAGCAACCGAACGTAAGTGTTTAGGGTACAGGGCATGGCGATTTGCTCTGGGTCAGGAAGACTGGAGACAGGTGGGCTCTTCCGAGGTCCTCCTGGTATACTAATCTTTTTTCTTTCAGAGGACAGAGCAGGGGATTTTCTGCTCTGGGGCTGGGAGGACTGGAAGTACCGGGGGGGTCTACCTGATGTCTTACCTGGAACTTACCTAGTTTAATATAGAATTATGCGTATTTTGTTTTTTTTTATGTGCATGTTTGCTGTTTTGCTTAATAGTTTTGAACTAATCTCTCAGTGTGCACACTGTATTATTTGTAAATATTATGTATTAGGTAGAAGCAGCTGAATGTTGAGAAATGCACAGCTCCTGTTTATTGATCTAATTTTAATCCCATCTGTCATTCGCAGATTACTTGTTTACTTCTTTTGGTTTAGGTATGGTCTCGGTACCTGTAGGCGAGCGAGGACGCTCGAGGGTCAGGAAAGGCCGTGTCAGAAATGCTGATTCTTGCATATCCCGATCTCGCCGCCGCGCTGGCCGGGCCAACTAATATAAACAAATAGGAGACCATGACCTAGACCACCACCGAGAGGAGAAACAAGGAACACTCTGACTGCAGATTTAACTACGAACAGTCGCATAATTGTCGGGCTATTAAAGCTGTAATATCAAGTTAAATTAAAATTATTAGAATTCCGGATTTTATTTTAATATTTCTTACAATATATTTTTACTGTAAAAAATAAAAGTATATTTATCATCACAGTCATCGGGGGCAATTTTTAAACTGTTCAAGTTCAAAGTTCAAAGCTGAGATTCATATTCCTATCTAAATACAGTAGACCCACGGTAATCCGACAAACGTTTTGCAGGACGGCGTCGGATGATCGAATTTGTCGGACTATAGAGTACTGGCAATCTTCCCTTGCAGTCCGGATCTTTTTTGGAAAGGAGTACCTTATAATCCGACAAATTGCTTATAATAATGGTATAATACATATACGATATGGATCTTAGTGAATTAAACAGCACAATAGATAGCATAGGGTTTATTATCAATCAGTTACATACTACATATGTAAGTACATATTTCCAAGGTACATATTTTTTATGATCTTAATTTGAAAATGGATAAGCAAATAAATTTATGGTGCATGCAAATATTCATCCATTCTCTTTTGTTTTACATTGGTAAAACGCGAGAGTAAGGCCTTGTCTCTCAGTCTCCTCAAAAGTAAAAGTTCGTTACACGATGCACCATTCTCTTCAGCCCATTGCATACCCAGCTCAAATGCATTAATGGCATCTTTTGCTGACACTTGTGGAGTAGTTGCGATGACTTCATCATCATCGTCTTGATTTATTATTGGAGTAGAAATTTGGTTGACAATCTCCTCATCAGACATTTGATGGAAGGCACTTTCTTCTTCATCCATTCCACGATACCAGATTTCCAAATTTTCCGAACTAATCTGTGTTTCGGTAGCAACTTGCTCTATGACTTCCGAAGTAACACTGATTTGGGGAGCGGTGTTGGGAGTGGTGACTATTTCTGGCAATAAGTTTTTCCATGACGATGTAATGGTTGATGGGGGCAATGCATTCCAAGATTGACAAAGGGCAAAAACCAAGTCTTTCATGTTTAATTCTTTCAATGTTTTTTCTATGGGTTGGTCTTTTGATATGGCCGTCAGCAGCAGTTTTTTCTTGTAGTCTTGCTTGACAACTGAATGATATGCTGATCCATTGGTTGGATCAGCGCAGTGCAGTTTGGTGGAAGAAACATCGCAGTGATGCATTTATCCTCAGTTGTCAGTTCTTCTTCGGACGGATGACCGGGAGCGTTATCAAGAAGCAGTAACGCCTTTTGAGGTAGATTATGATCTTTCAACCATTTCCTAACTTCTGGCACGAAGCATTCATCAAACCACTTTTTGAAAAGGTCTTTTGTCATCCACGCGCTTTTTTGTCCATAATAGTGTACAGGTAAATCAATGTTTTTGAATGCTCGTGGATTTTTTGATTTTCCAACGACTACCATCTTTAGCCCGTGCGTGCCCGAAGCATTAGCACAAGGTAATATGGTTACACGTTCTTTGCTCACCTTACGTCCAGGTACCGATTTCTATCATGTGAAACAAATGTTTTGCTAGGTATTACACACCAAAAAAACCCTGACTCATCTGCATTGTATACCTGTGAAGGGCAAAGATCTAAATCTTTCACTTTTTGTAAAAATCGCAATTTAAATGGCTCAATGCAGGATGCATTATTAGAAAGTTTTTCTCCTGTTACAGTCATCAAACGTATTCCATAATGACTTTTGAAACGTTCCAACCATCCCTTGCTAGCTACAAAGTTGTCTTTGTTTTTTATCTCCTTGTAAAAAAACTTTGCGTTCATCGCCAATATGGGCCCAGAAATAGGTGTATGCCTGTTTCTTTCATGAAGAAACCACATGTACAAAGCTTCCTCAACCTGTGGATGTTCAGCTTTCTTGAGTGTCTGCCTCCTGCCTGGCCCACAGTCAGTCGTTGACACGAACCTTTGAATGTTCTCGCGGTTCTTTTTAATATCATAAATTGTGGAACGTCCTACGCCGTATTCACTTGCCAAGCTACTAAAAGATTCATTACGATTTAGGCGGTCCAGAATCTCATTTTTTTCTTTAATTGTTAATGTTTTGTGTTTCCACTTTTGGATTTGCGAAGCCATTTCGACACGTGTAGATATGCGTTGTACGATGCGGCAGCAATATACACGAACACCTGCTGTCACATTCACAATCAAACTGAAACAATACGCATCAAGCAAAAGTCACGTATACGCATGTCGGATTATAGGGGGTGCCGGATTAGACAGGGGCCGGATTACCGCGGGTCAACTGTATGTGGGTTGGAATGCTACACTCATGAAAGTGGCAGAAAAAGAAAATTAGGGCAAGGACATTGTCCTAGTACACTCGACGCAAGATAAAGGTTTCCAACCTAAAAGGCATACTACTTCTAAAGGGGCGAGCCGGTGGACTATTAATAGGAATTTTGGGAGGCATCAATAATTAGGGGCGTGTCATATTTTTTTTTGTGTAGGTACGTGTGTAACACATAACAAAATATTGCAGGCCTGAAGTATATGCATTATAAAAAGAGAAGAGTATACAGGTTTTCAAATTATTTTGTCTTGACACATTATTTTTCTTGTCCCTGAGAAAATTAATATTTTGAAATAAGAATTTGTGTCATATTCTGCAGAAAGTAGGTAGGTAGATCATGAAGTCCTGAGTTTCCGAGTTGCAGGGTTTTCAAAATTAAAATTTTTAATTTTCTTAAATCCATTGAATCTAACTATTCGTAAGTAGGTAGTAGACGTTTCGCAAGATTTATTAACTAGGATGAATCGATTTTTCTATTGTAATGTAAATTCAACTCTTTTAATAAAAACAAGATAATAAAAAATGCATACGGGGTCTGCTATAAGAGTTTGCCGATTAGTCCCATTTTAAAAATGCCAATCTACGAGGAAAGCATTTTTGTACAAAACTCGTAAAATGTCAGATGTTCAAACAAAGTACGATTCAGATTGGAAACCTTTATCTTGCGTCTAGTGTACATAAGAATCAGCAGAAATAAAATAGTTAAACATCAAAGAGAAAGTTATTGACCACTTGGCATCATCTCAAAACAATTGGAGCCACCTCTGCTAAATCAAGTTGTGATTGATTTGATTGCCTTAACAGAGAATGCTACTTGACGTAGCATTACATGCTTTTCTATATTTTGGCATCTAACATTTTAGAAGATAAGAACACCAATATAATATTAATATGTCAGTCATTATTAATAACTAAGTCAATTCTTAATCTAGATTATAACGAATAAACGTCACAAATACATGAAATAAAAAATGTAAATAAAAAATGCCCATCACTGTCACAACATATCAAGTTTTTCAATCATAATAAACTAATAAAGATAAATTACAGTAAAAGCTCAAGCCATATTTTTTACATTTTAAAATATAGAATACACAAAAACAGAATCGATATATTATTATTGTAAATATCAAGCCTTACCTTTGTGAATAAGCTTTTTTGTGTTCTTGAATTGACGTATAGTAATATTCTTCACAATTTGGTTCAGAAATTAAATATAATTCCATCAGACTGCTTCTTTGTAAGGATTTCAGCACATAATTATTGTTATTTAATCGAAATAGAGCTTTTAATGCAGAATCGCTGTATAGTTCACTTTTACTAATTAATGTATGATTTAATTGTACCAATACTTTTTCTAAAACAATGATTAGCTTAAGTGTGAAACATATTAAATACATTACATATATTTACTTATGTAAAAACCCAATAAAGCTTTATTTGAATCACTACTCTTCAGTTTACTTAATTGTCTTGAATAATTTGGGTCTTGTTCCAGCACAATACCAATTGTATCCGTATAATCTAATAACTCTTCTAAAAATCTAATAACATTGCTTGTCATCTCATGTACAGTACCATCTGTTGGCAACTGAGTAACTGAATCAGAACGTATACTCTCAATGAAATCTTCCAAAGCTTTACTCCCCTAGAATACAGAATTATTATTTCTACATATTTCTATAAAAGTTAAATTACTACATACTGTCATATGCAACATTTGCAATATCTGATCAAACTTCACTTTTACATTCAAGTCATACTGCTCCACGGTTCGTTCAAAGTCTGGTTTTAAAGAACGTAATTGCTTGAATATTGGAAAAATTACTAGAACTGTAGTAAAATCGTGTTTTGCTATGCATTTTCTTGCTCTTGCTACTATATTCTAAAAATCACATAATTTTATTATATTAATTGATTTAACTTAAAAGATTCAAGTAACATTCTACCCTACATATCTTATTTACTAGTGCTGGCAAAAACCGGAAAAAACTGAAACCGGTTAACCGGGTTCTTAAAAACCGATTTCAGATAAAACCGGTTAGTCGAATAGTTGCTAAAACCGGTTATTCGAATAACCCGTTACTTGAAGCGCCAATACCAGGTACCTGAAAATTGGTGCTTTACAAAGACAGACCCGGAGAAATTGTCTAAAAAAAAAAAGTCTACAAAAATCTGGAAGTCGGTCAATTGCAATCGGACAAATCGGTCTAAAAAAAAAAAAGGAAGTTGATCATCGAATAATCGGATATTTGAAGATTCAAATAACCGAATAACCGGTTTTTGGATATTTGAAGAATCGAATAACCGAATAACCGGTTTTCGGATATTTGAAGAATCGAATAACCGAATAACCGGTTTTCGGATTTCATAAAAATCCGAATTATCCGAAACCGGTTAACCGACTATCCAAAAAACCGATTTCAGTTGCCAGCACTATTATTTACTGTTGTACTTCTTTAGACCAACATATTAGAAAATTTTCTTATGTCAGAGCAATACAAAATAAGTTAATATTGCATTTCAGAAATATTAACTAATCTTGTGTTTTTTTAACCCTCATGTACACCCCAATGGTTTTTTAAAAATCGTGGTATTTCTAATAATCGACCGCAGCGTCCCTCATACACTTAGTAGTAAAACTTCGATAGTTGTATTATGAGCTCAGGCTCATAATAGTTCAGCCAAGCATAATTTTACAACTAATATATTTAAATAAAATATACACAATATACACGTAAGCCATTTTTCACACTTGAAAAACTAATGTAAACACTGTCGCAAACACATTAATACTAAAATCGTATTTCAATATTTGGAATCATCTGGGGCCACGTAGAGAGACAGTCACAATGCGAATGACGCTAGAGAGTACAGTAGCCCAGTGATGTAAAGGTTGTAAATACTATAACCAATAATTTTTTCCTTGGAAGTATAAGGAGTTTCAAAAAAATTTTTGGATATTGACTATATTTTTCAAGGCCGAGGCTTTCGCCGACAGCCTGGAAGTGCAGTGTAGACTGCCTCAGCTGCCCGACGAAGACGAGGAATTCGAGATAGTGGCTGAGCACACGGCCTGACGCGTCGACAGAGAGCCAGACAATGACATAATCCCCCCCGCAACACCTGACAAACTAAGACTGACAATACGCAGACTTAAAAACAGAAAAGCCCCCGGACCCGACAATATACATAACACGACACTTAAACGACTACCACACAAGGGCCTCATGGCCCTACTAAACATAACAAACGCGACACTCAGACTAAGACACTTCCCTACCCGCTGGAAAACAGCAAACATAATCCTTATCCCAAAACCCAACAAAGATCACACCATCCCATCCAACTACCGGCCCATTAGCCTGCTCCCGGCTATGAGCAAAGTGGTAGAAAAAATTATCCTAACCCGTCTAAGAACCCACTCCCAAGAACTGCAAGTCATTCCAGACGAGCAGTTCGCCTTCCGACCCAATCACTCCACTGAACTCCAAATCCTTCGCCTTACCGAGCACATCACGGCGGCCTTCAACAGGGGACAGTACACTGGTGCTGTCTTCCTGGACGTCGCAAAGGCCTTCGATACGGTTTGGCATGAAGGCCTACTGATGAAAATGCTCACCAACCAATATCCCATATCCTTTACCAAACTCATAAAATCCTACCTACACCACCGAAAATTCCGCATCCAAATCCAAGATTCCCTTTCCACCACCCGTCCCATGGAGGCCGGTGTCCCCCAGGGCACCGTCCTGTCCCCACACCTATACACCATTTACAACTCCGACATCCCACATCCCCCCAACACCAACATATACTTATACGCCGACGACCTGACAATCACATCCCAATCCGTAGATCCTAGATATTCCGTCTACCTCCTCCAAAGCTCCTTAGACCAACTTGAAACCTGGTGCAACAGGTGGAAAGTCAAAATTAATCCCAACAAAAGTTCGGCTATCCTTTTTACCAAACGAAAAATCCCACAAAACCTTGACAGACTGACACTATCCCAGGAACCCATCTCCTGGAATCGACAAACACGATACCTGGGCGTGACGATGGACCAGCGTCTCACGTGGAAACCGCACATCGTGGAGACGGTGGCGCGAGCGAAGACCACCAGGGCTAGGCTCTATCCCTTACTCAAAGGTGGAAACACCCTCAGTTTAAGGAATAAGCGAACGCTTATCAAGGTGGTACTTCAACCGCAGCTAACCTACGCCTCCACGGCGTGGGGTCACGCGGCAAAAAGCCACTTAAAGTCATTACAGGCTGTGGAAAACATAGCCCTCCGCACGGCCACCGACGCGCCCTGGTACGTAAGAAACACTGACATATTACGAGACTTACAATACACAAACGCTACACAGACAATAAGACAAAACGCGGAGAAACGATTTGACGTAGCCGCTAGACATGACAATCCCCTCCTCAGGCAAGCCGTTGACTACGTACCCGACGTGACCGACAAACACAAAAGACCTAGACACCAACTTTTTGACCCTGGGTGACCACCCCAATGACCCCCCCCCTGCCCGCTAACCTTTTCTGTTTCAGAGACAGCCAGGATCAAGAAACGAAGACAACGACACACACACACACACATACACACCCCCCATACCCTCCTTACCCCTCCCCTCCCGCGCTAGCCTAAGGGCCACCTTAGCAAAGCGCATCCCAGGCTGCATAGCCGCACTACCCTACCCAACCATACCACACATAAACATGACACTACCCCCGGGGTTTACACAGACGAGCCGGCGAAGCAAGAAGAGCGCCAGAAGAAAGGGCCCTAGCCGGCGGGGCCCAGCCAGGACAAAAGGAGGTCCCACAAAGCGCCTACACCGGCCGCATTTGCGGTCGGGGTAGACGACGGATGGGGCCCACCTACGAAGGCTGTCCAGGCCTACACGAGATGAGGCAGGATAAAGAGGGATAATCCCCCTCGATCCCAAATCATTGAGGCCAATTTCTAGCCATGGAATAATGGCGCGGCGCGACTCCATTTTTCATTGCGCATCTATTCCCAAATTTTTTTTGAATAAATTGTGAATCACCCTGTATAATGGATAAAAAAGAAAGATGTTATTACTACCCCAGATAATTTATAAAAATGTTTTTCGATAATGTGAAACAAATTTGAATATTTTTTTCAATAAAAAAAAAACAAAGTTTCAAGGTAATTTTAAATGTTTCAAATAGAAGTTACAGGCCTGAAAATACGATTGGAGTCTAGTTAATACAACAACCAAGCAAGTGCTGTGAAAGCGAAACCCGTGTTATACTCACATCATATCTGTAGGTGGACATCAAAATCACAAGACCATTTCGTTAATTGTCTCACCTACAGTATACTAATGAGAACTAATAACTTCAGAACCAGGATATGTGTGATGATTCTGTGACAAATGATTTTAGCTGTTTATTATTTCAATGTTAGTCAAGGCATTAGTCCTCATAGTAGTTGTTTCCCACAATATAATTAATTAAAATACCTAATATAATTAATTAAAACACCCTTCCATCACTGTCTAAATATGTAAAATCTAACAGTTGCCCATGGCTTTGTTCATATAGATTTTTTATTGTTGTGGTTTTCAAAACAAATATAGTTTTATTAAAATTCTATCATAATTTAAAGGTTAGTATTTTAGGGGGTGAATGGACAAATCGATCTATTTATTTTGATGAATTTGGTCTTATTAAAAATCATTTCTAGTGGCTAGTTTTACCCTGGCGTATGATATACATATTAAAGTAATTTAATTTAATATTTATTTAATTAAATCATGTGATATTATCAATTATCGAGTGAATATACTAAAATAAAAAAATTTTAATAAGAAAAAATTGCTTAGTGGGAGACATGTTTTGAAAATACCATATCGTGTAACAAGTGTGGTAGTGGTAAATACGTTTTTACTGCATGCAAATGAAATTGTAAAACCAGCAGAGAGTTTTGCAATGCAAGTACAGTAAAAACAAGCGCACCATATGTGTTGCACACAATATTTCTATTTTAGACCGCGTCTCAAGTTATTTAAAATAATTCACTTTGTCTAGTTGTCAGTGAGACACAGGATAAAATAAAATTTATATATTTGTGACATTTAGATACATACAATTGCTTACAAAGTCTGTGATATTGTATTTATAACCCATGCAAGAAAGTGATTTGAGCAATTTTTTAATAAGTCAGTCAATCATTCTACTTTTATATGTAGACATAAAGAGAACTTTATTAAAAAAAAAGATTTATATGTTAGAAATATAACGTGCTATTGTATTTGCAAATACATATAACTCCCAAACCATAAACAGATTTATTTTAACTTCGATTCGTACAATATTTTACAGTAAAAAAGGTACGGAGATATAATGTTTCATGAATGTCCCTGTGAATCCTATTCGATAACTAGTAAATATTTATTTTACCCAACATCATTAATAAGTTATTAATGGCAAAAAAGCCTTTTTTAATAAAAGGATCACTGCATGTCAAGTGGACCAGTTTTGAAAATCGTCCCCACCTAACCATCCCCAATTTTGCTGAAAATTAATATAGATATGTTTGAAAAGAGCTTCTGTGAAGTATTAGCAATGTTTCAGAGGATCACCATTTTCTAAGGAATGGTTCCGTTTGTAGCGGACTCAGAATCAACAACAAGAACCGAAATGGGCTTAGGGGTTCTGATAGCGGGTCCGTCCCAACAGAGCCTAGCCGCACAAGAACAAAGGCGGTAAAAGATTAATAGCTAAAGCTAAGGAAGCAAATCAATAATCAGGTACATAGACCACACCATAACAACTTGAAAAAACATTGTACCTACTTTAAATATGTGGCTTGCTCATCTAGGTTCAATCGTGACCGTAGATTAGTTTCTGTTCCTCAACTCCAAATTCTTAAAACAATTTTAGTATACCTCTATCTGATTTTAAGCACTCTATAAGCAAACAATAAATCGATATTGTACATCCATAAAGTAGTCAAATTAGGAAATGTAATTGAAAATAAATAGTGAAATTAATGTTTGTCGGATGGAACAAAGGAACGGTTCAAGAACATTTTTCCTGTCTTAAACAGAAAAATATCAACAAAAAGAACAAAGATTCTGGTAGAAAAAAATATACTCTTTCCAGTGATACCAAAATAAATAGAATTAAAAGGCCACCCTTTTGAGATATTTGTTTTTGGAAAATTGGTTATATTTGGCTGCAGATCATGCTACACCGTATTAGTAGGTAAGTCTTTCTATCAGTATGACCTTGCACTGTATTACAGTGATGCAATGTCTACTGTACTGTTATCAACAGTCTTATGTTTTTGAATTATTTAAATAAAATCAATTTTCAGAAAAGGTGGTCGACTATCCCACTTGACAGAAGAAGCATCCTAAATACATTATTTATCTTGTTATTTACTAAAGCAGGATTGTTGCAACTTATTTTCTAGTTTTTCTACATTTTCTACACTAGTTGCCAGTTGGTAAAACTTGGTTAACTTATATGGTTAGACTATGAATAATTTTGCACGTCCGATTAGGTAACCAACCAACCTACACTCAAAATACTGGCCTTATGAATGCAGGACTGTATTTTAATCTGTTATAAGAAAATAAATGTACTAAGGAAATTGAATTCATTTTTTTTCAATCAAAAAAGCTACCTTTGAAGATATTCCACAAGTTATTGAAACTTTGCTTATAACAAAATAATATTTCAAATTATACAATTCTTTATTGTTACTTTTTGTATTTTTGTTTAACTTTTTAAGTAAAAAAAACAAAATGGTTTATGAAAATTCCATCTTATGATATAAAACATATTCTGTATAAATTTACCTCACCATCCTGAACGATAGTGTCCATAGCTTCCCTCACAATTAATTCAAATACCCTTGGTTGGTGAGCTGGTACAATAATATCTTTCATTAAAATTTGTTCAATTTGCATCAATCTGTGTAAAGCTATAACACACACCAAATAATTTTCCATTTCTTGTTCATTATCAAATTCTTCTCCAGTATATGATGTATCTGAAAAATATTATGTAAATATACAGGATGTCCCAAATGCCCTAGTTAATTTTAATTAAGGTCTTTACTCTTTCAGAGGTAATATATACGCCACTGTATGTAATAATTTTCCAATGCCTACATTAACCAGATTATATATATATAAAAGCGGACTAAGAGAGTCGTAGCATTTTAAAAGTATTTGATTCATGGCATACTTTCAAATAAATTTTCCGGACGATGTTTTTGTCCATGGCCTCTATCATTATACTGAATTTATTTATTTGTTGGTAATGGACTCATTTAATTTGCTATTTTTAAGCAACATTTTACCACAAATTAACCATCCTTCCATTGTAAGCCAATCTTGAAATTTGCATTTACTTTGAGCTGATCATACATTTTACAAGTATTCTCAAAACGGCAAGATAATACGACCCTATCTTTTATAGTTTTAGAGCACCGTCCATTGCACAAAAAAAAATAAAATAAGTAAAAGGTGTCCTTGTTCTAAAATGCATTTTTCCAGCAAAAAATTGGTTTTAATTTTCTGACGTAGTTCTCAATTTCAGTTGTTGCTAAATATAAAATTATATTAAATATTTTTTACTACTCATATTTAAACCAACAAAAACATATCATTTACCTAAATGAGATGCTCTTCTCGTTCCTAATGTTAATCCTGTAGAATGTTCAAGGGTTTGAGAAGCTTTCAAGAGCATTTTGTTAGCCTTTTTTTCAAATACATGTTGTAAGCGACGTGTTGAAGGCCTCCGAACAGCTTCATGGCGATTTTGAAATTTTGTTTTCTAAAAATAATCAGTTTTTTTAATATGTAGTTTCCAACACAATTTTTTTTTCTTAAAAATACCACTAAGAATTACAAAAAGCTGTCAAATTATGGCCTATAATTTCTGGGGTCATTGATTGTATTTCCAAAAGCATTTTATTCGTTCGATTTCTTAATTGAATTACTATAAGAACTGATTTTATAATATATGTATTTATACACTTCTCACGGTGGATTTCAAAATTATAGGGAAAAATGTTACAATTTGTTAAAAAATAACAAAATGCCCAAAAACGAAAAACTTCTTAGTCACTGGTTGACGTATTTATATCTGATTACTTTTAATTAAATAATTATTTAACCCATTTAACCACTTTGGAGACAACAAAATAAATATTTTTTTTGAGTTTGTAGTAGTATATTTATTAAAATAAATGTTATATACGGAATGATCTACGTCAACTGGATCAGCGCTACGACCATAATTTGGAGTAATCAAAAAAATCAACCAAGGGCTCATTTTAAAGCTTCTACTTTCAAATGTGAGTGCGCCCCTTTGTAAATATGGCGGCTTTAATATGGTGCCTAAATGCTCTCAATTTTTCTGAAAAAAATTTAAAAACATAAAATTTTGTCCATATTTAAAGTGCTTTCCAATGTATTTTGACCTCCTAAACACGAATCCAGTATGAGAATTTAGCTATTACGTCACATTTTTTTTCTAACCTCAAGAAACTGGTAAAAACCAGTAAAAATGTTCAAAAATGTAGTACGAGAAAAAAAAGAAACCTGCATTTTTCATATTCCTCCTTCAACGAGGAAATAGACCCACTGAATTCAAATTCACCTCCAGAATT